AAATATGTACTCGTACTATGATAGTACAAGTACAAGTACTGTATGGGTACTGGTGCACTACCGATAAATTAGGGTTGCAACACCCACCAGTTTCAACGGGGCGCGACCGGATGGATGGCGCATGAGGAAACCAAGATACGGTAGGGTGCGGTATCGTGCAGTAATGTACTCGAGTACCAGTGCAAGTACAGTATCGGTACTACGGGTGAGCAGTATGCAAGATTGATTGCGCCCATGCCTGCGGTACTTGTACTACTGTACGAGTAGTAATTTATACAGAGCATAGGGTAACGGTCCCAGCATGATATTAGGGTATGCAGGCTTTCCCCCAGGTTTGTTTCTGTTGGTCCTACATTTAGACTCACCCGCGCTACCCGTGCTCCCTCCTTCCCCTTCCCCATCATCCAACCATATGAAGACTGCCTGATACTAGCGTGGGCGTTGTTCCCCCCCTCTCTCTCTCGTGGTCCCTTCGGATACTTGGTTGTTGGGGATGGGCCCATCTTAACAGGGGATTTCTGGGGGTTGGGGCGGATATATTAGGGGGGTTTTTTTTCTTCTTTTTTCTTCTTTTCCTTTCGTTCTCTCCTCTCCATCTCTTTTAGAAAGGATGGACACAGTCTGTGGTACGGTACGAGCACATGTACGAGTACCGTAATTCGGCGAGACTACGGTACTCGAGAGAATTGTACGGGTACTTGTATCATCAGGGGCGGGGATCCTGTAGTTTCACAGGCTATGCCTGATACGCTAGAATTAGAGTTGGCTTGCCACGGGAGCCACAGCAGACCGACCCTCTTTGATGGATCTACCAAGTTTTGGCACGATTAAGGAAGCTGGACTGCCCGAAGCTGGATCCAGGGCTGTGTGTTTGAGAACCACGTTTTGTGAGTGCTTGGCGATGATGGCTTACTCGAGGGGGAGTCCAGACATTTACGGAGTTTCAGAGAGGTTGTCTACGGTATCATACTCTACTCCCTACGGTGCCCGTACTGGTACTTGTATCTCGAGTACACACCGTAGTCTGCCGTGCCCCTGCCCTCTCCCTCGACCTGTGATACCGGTATCATACCGACTGTCCTCGAGGTCCGGGCTTGGTAGGGTTGGAGTGTTGCTAGGGGTCGAGCACGACAATGTAAGCTTTGTTTCACGACACAGCGAGTTGCCCCCCAGCGAGCCCCTTCCCCAAACGCAACTCCGACACCAGCCCCAGCCGTGTTGCGGCTCCTCACTCCGATTAGGGAAAGTGAGAGATCGTGCCGAGATATTCTCTGCCTCAACGTTTCGCATCTCATCCCCATCCATCCATCCATCCCCCCCCGAGTTTGCCCGCCAAAGAAGCTCGTCACAATCCCCTCCCTTGCCCAATTGAATGGAGAGCCTCATCCCCTACCCGCTCCCCATCCTCATCCGGACGGGGACGGTGGGGATGAGGGTGAGGGAGAGGATGATCACCTTCCCTCTTCACCCGCCTTTCCCTCTAATACAATCCTCTCCCACTGTGGATGATGATGATGATGATGATGATGATGATGGGTCGACCCCCCTTCCTGCTTAACCACCCTCCCCGGTACAAGTACGATATTGTACAGCCCCCAGTATGCCCCAGCACGGTGTGATGCTCGAGCACCCATGCACTAGTACAGTGTGCGAGAGCATGACATTCATGTTGCTGTTGTTGCTTATTCCTCCTCCTTCGTTACTCGCCGCTCCTGCCTGTTGGACCCTTCGCCGTGTTTCGAGCATCAGCTATCCATCCATCCATCCATCACACCCCTTCGAAATCTCTCCCGCACCCCTTTCGACTCCACCGCTTTGTGTATTACTTGGATCCTACTACCGGTATGGGCTCGGGACATGTGCCAAAAACAACTCTTCACACAGGTATATATCGTTCGCCCTCCCACCCTCCCGCTTGTCTCTCTGCTCTGCACCCTCTTTCAACTTTCTGCAGGTCCGCCGTCGTCACCCTTTCTCCCTCTCTTTTTTCCCCTCCTTTCCTGTTATCTTCATTCTTGCTCGGACGGGATCCCAGGTGGAACCTTTTCTTGACCACATTCGGAGCTTTGGTAATTGTTTGATATCTGCTGGCACGCTCCGGAATTTTGTTATAATACTTAATCAGTCTCTCCATCGACTTTTTTTTTCTTCTTTTTCCATTTTTGTCCACTCCTTCTGTCCAACGCCTCTTCTTCCAAAGCTCCGCGAGCCCTTTCAACGTAAGAAAAACTCGGGATAGTCATTCTTTAAAGGCCCCAGCAGCAGCAGCAGCAGCAGCAGCAGTTTCCCTCGATATCTTGAACGGAGGGCTGCTCATTTCAAAAATCAAACTACTACAACAAACATGACGGTCATCAGAAAATTCCTCGCCTGTGCTTCTGCCGGATTGGTTGCCTTTGGCTGTGTCGCCAGTGCCCACCCGGTATCAATACCTTTTCACAAAAGGGATGCCCACCCATGTCCTTTGGGGAGTGAGGAGCTTCATCATCAGCACAGCAGACGTCAGGCCGGTGCGCCGGCACTAACCGATCTCGACATCTTGCAATTGTAAGTTTTTTTACTCGATTGAGGCCAAGTGGGACGCGGAGCTAAATGCATGAACCCTAGTGCCCTGACCCTCGAGCACTTAGAGGCAGCATTTTACAAGCAGGGATTCGAAAAGTTTCCTCCATCGGAATTCATGGCGTTGGGCTTGGACCAGGATCAGATTGATGGGCTAGTGCAGATAGGGAAGACTGAAGCTGCACATGTTACCGCTCTTATGGCTGCGGTTGCCGGTGCCGGAGCTACTCCCGTGTCACCGTGCACCTACGATTTCAAGTTCACCGACGCGAAGTCAATGGTTGCGACAGCCAAGGTGCTTGAGGCGGTAGGCGTGAGCGCGTAAGCCCCCCCCCTTTCATGCCTTCAAGTGATGCGGCAGCGCCCCGCCCTAACGTTTTGAGCAGATATCTCGGAGCAGCCCCACTTGTCAGCGACAAGAAGATATTGTCGGCAGCAGCCTCAATCGTCACCATCGAGTCCCGCCATCAGACCTTCATCCGCACTGCTCTGCGTGAGGATCCCATTCCGCAGGCATTCGACGCTGCGGTCGGCGCCCGCCAGATCTTTACACTGGCCGCCTCATTCATTACTTCTTGTCCCGCCGGCTCCGCACTGCCGCTCCAGGCATTCCCGTCCTTGAACATTGTTAACGCTGCTAGCGTCAGGCCAGGATCTACCTTGACCCTTGCCGATACCACCGCCTTCCCCGATGGAACAACTTTCTGCTCGTTCACCGCTGGAGAGACTGGAACATTATTTACCCCGCTCTCGGGGGGGAGTTGCACGGTTCCTCCGGAATTGGGTGGGGAGGTCTACGTAACGCTTACATCGAGCAACGTGGCATTGACAGATGACAAGATCCTCGCTGGGTATGCTCTCCACATCTCTATCTCAACAAATGAAAGCTGACAAATGATTTCAGTCCCGCCGTCCTGCCCATGTGATCTGGTCCACACGTGCCGCCGCTCTTGTTTTTGTAATGATACCTCCCTTCTCCATATCGCACGAATTATATAAATTTTCTTTAGTAGTACACCTCCTGTACGGAATATAATATTAAGGCAAACTGTAATATTGGAAACAAAGAAGAATATTGTGGTAACTTTTTCTTCTTTCCGCCTCGCTCTCTCACCCATCACTGATCAGTCACCTTGTCGATTTCTCCTCGACCTCTACAGTGTTGTTTATTTTACACTTTTCTCTTCATGTTTTTACAATTTTATTTCACCTTTTCCTACTTCTCACGCTCAACCGCAGCCGGGACATGTAAATTGTACTCCATGAACAATTTAATCTCCTTTTCCGAATCGACAACCCGACGAATAGCCCCCCACGAAAAACTCGGTAGAGATCATTACCTCCGGTGCGCGCGTATGAGCATCGGACCCCGGGTGAGAGAGAAGGTAGCGCCATGCGGTATATATAGACTACAAGGATGCAAAAAACCTCCATAATGCTCGTATCGGCCGATCGACTGGATGTAAAACAATAACGGCGGTCCACGTTTCGTGTCATGTCAAGTGCCATAGCCTAAAGCAAGGCTTAGTGATTTGGGCGGTGTGACAGCACCTACCGTATTGGATTGGGTTCGGCTGGGTTAGGAGGGGGTGGTATGGTTTTGAAACTCAAATTCTATGACCCTAGGGGTTTTATATAACAATTTAGGAATGACAGGTACTTGTACTTGCACAGTAGGGGGTAGGGAGGTGAGTAGGGCTTGGCACATGTAATATCACTCGTTGTGGGCTGCCCGAGAGATCAGGAGGGGTGGATCCCGCTGGGTCGTTAGTTTTTATCCCCATCTGTGTTGTTGAAAGATCGAGAGAGCGGCCGGTGGCGGGATTCGGTTTGATTTGGCTCGAGTTAGTGAGGGTGTAACGTATGCTACATTGATGGCATGGTGCTCCTTGAAGTGACATTTTTACGCTGGCACCTCCACTTTTTCAGTCGTAGGGGTGACGGCGAATTGGTGTACTAGTACAGGAGTAGAATACAAACGCTAGCAGAAGAGTGCCCATGCCTAGAACCGATTCTAACAGTCAGGTAATCGGGAGGGGGGAAACAGAAAAAAAGAAGACGAAATTATGAGGGAAGATAGGAGGGAACCACAGACAGGCTAGATTGATAGACATACACGTGCGGTGAAGTCAGTTACTCTAGTAAACCGATCCGAGAAAATCGGTGAAATCTCGCCATGACCATGCAGGCCAACTGAGCTAGCTCAGCCATCCATCTTAAATTGAAAAAGAGGCCCTAGCCCTTGCGCTCCCGGCACTCGCACTCTCGTCGTGCGCAGCAAAGTCCACATTTTCTCCATTCTTCAGCCTAAGAATCGCCTTAAAGTGCTTACCCAGCGTTGCCAACCTGTCCATGTCCCCCCACCCAGTGCCAGTGGTCCTGGTCCAGCAGCTGATTCTGGTGAACCCTTTGCGCATGTTGGCCACTACGCCCTGAACTTCACTCACTCCCTCCGGCTCCATAGTCTCACCGATGGTGGCGAGGAGGACGTCAAGCCATTGCGTATCGATGTTATGCCTTTCGCGGAACATGAAGGAGAAGCGGCCGCCGCGCTTGTTGTTCGGGTCTTCCCATTCGGGACGGATGCCAAACTTGAAGAGCTGGTAGTCGGATTTGTTGGGGAGGGTCGAGGGGGTGGGGACATTGTTCTTTGTAGGGAGTTAGTACGGGTGTTGAGAATGAGTGGGCTTGGGAGTGTACGTAAATGGCCCAGAACTCTTCCACAGAATCAAAGGATTGAATTTCTCTGAGGAGGTCAGACCAGCTTTCGCCAGACTTAACATGAATTAGTGACGGTGGGGCGAGGAGGGGAAGTGAAGGGTGGAAGGGTAAAAACAAACTTTTCCACTAGGCGGCTTGGTATACCACAAAGTCCACTTATTAATCAACGGATGCTTAACATTGAATCTGACGGCATCATGGAAAACTGTAATTCTCTCTTCGAGCCCTTCTTCCCTTTCTAACTCATTCTCGAATCCTGGAAGCTCTTCATCTTGGGGGGAGGAAATGGTAGAGCTGGGTGTCAATGGACCCTGACTAGCTACCAGAAGCCTAGAATCCCAGGCGTCGTGATTGGTGTCAAGGTCCTCACCATTAGTGGAATACCCGTCGCTGGAATCGCTGGAATCAGCCGCCGGTTTCTCACTGGCTCTGGGTATGGTCGAGATATCTGTGGATACTATAATAAAGGTCTCATTATTAGTATCATCAGGGATTTTTTCGGGCTCAATGTTCCCAGGTGCAACCAGGTTATTTTCTGGTCGACCAGTAGAAACCTCATAGCCAGCACTATCAGACCATCTTTTGATAGGTCCAGGTATAACAGGCCCATGCATGGGCTGAGGACCAGAAGATGCGTTATTCATACTGCCATTACCATTCCCACTCATTCCTGAGGCGGCAGAAGGGTATTCTTCGCACTTGGCGGTGGAATGGCCAACTTCGACATGGTGGACTTTATTGTCAATGGTTTCTGGTATTATAGGGCTAAGTTTTTGGGTAGTGATGGGAGACACATGCCCATTTGTGGGAATATCATGATTATCGCCAGAAGCCGTATATGGGGCTCCAGCTATACTGGCTCCAATCTCAAAGAGGTAGTCCACAATCCGGGAAATAGAAGATCGTTCATCATCATAGACTCTCTCATCCCTATCATATCCCTCCACATTGGCCCTGTCATTCGGTCCACTAACGGTACCTCTCTGACAGACTCTAGCAGACCTAAAATCGTCTGCGGAAGGATTGTTGTCAATATTGGTGAAAAGATTGTCTTGACCCTTATTGATTTCGGCTCCGCCATCACCATTTACAGGGTGAATTGTAAAGGCACTATCATCCACCTCACCACTTTCGTGTTCAGGTTCTGCCGGGCTATTCGCGGGTTTGGCAGCTGGGAATCTGTCGATCCTATTATCCGGTGAACCAGGTTCATCCACCCAACCGGTGGGTGAAGGGTTTGCTGTATCGCTGGTGATCCCAAGCCGATTGGCTTCGGGCACAGCATGTCCCGCTGGACGCCCTATAGTGCTACCCTCTGGTATACCGATTGGTGATTCTGGCTTGTCGTTGCAAGCACTGTTGTCAGCCTGGCCTACTTCGTTTTTAGTGTGTTCCAATTTAACGATCCTATCCGAGGGTTCCACTGCAACACGATTATTGGTATTAGTTGCGCCGCTGGTCTTCTTTTTTATTGTAGAAACCTCGTCTTCCAGCTCAACAGTAGAAGAAGAATCAGGGCAACCCCCGGGATCGCTCCCGCTGCCCACTGGAGTACCAAGGTGGTCTGGAGGATTGAAAGCGCTAATTTCCCAATCCGTGTCCAGAGATTCTGGAAAGATGCTTGACTCGGGAGGGGTAGTCACTAGCAGAGCATCCATAGTTGAGCTGGTGAATGGGGGTAGAGGTGGGGTTTTTTCTTCTCTTTTTTTGTTTTGTTTTGATGGAAGAGTAGGGAGAAGTATTGTTGGAGCGAAGAAATGAGGTGGTGGCTGGATTGGGGGGGAGTCGAGTCAAGTTAAGCTGGATTAGACTGAGTGGTGTATCCGGGAGAGAAGACGAGAAGACGAGTCGAGCAAAGGGAAGGGTTGGGGTGGAGGAGAGGATAACATATATATGCTTGGGGAGATATCAAACTTGGGAGTTGGTATGGATTCACATGATCATGGTGACATTCGGTTTTGGGGTTTGATGGATGAGGGTCGCTGGTGGCCGTGATATGATATGATACCGCAGGGAGCTTAGGGTCCGGCCTGTACCGCAGAGCCCCCTGATAGACGGCGGTCAGGCTTCCTGCGTGTGGGTCACCTGTTAATTGCATAAGGAGGCGATGTTAGCGAGTACTTAAGGTTATTGTGTATGTTATCCTCTGGTTGGCCTCTGCACTTCGTATGATACATACAAACAGGTAATCAGCAACGGCGTATTGCGTTGCTATCGCCGACTTTAACTATTCAAGGCTACTTCCCATGCCACTGCTCAGTTCTGTTGCGTGATGCTATCATACCGCAGCACTCTGGCAATCAGAAGAATATCTGGGATCTCGAGGTTCCACGGCACCTCAAATTGTGGCTTATTGGATGCACCTTCCCTCCAACTCGAGCCAGCCACCCGCCCAGCAGGTGTCGAGATATCCAGCGTGGTGATCCTCGTGATCCTCATGATCCTCAGATCCTGAGTGACCACTTGTGACGCGGAGATGTTGGTTTCACCCTCGTGTCACCGCACGACCATGCCAAACATTTTGTTCCAGGGTCACCAAATCCAGCAAGATACTCCTATTGGCCGACTTTCCAACACCCTGACAGTGACCTGGAGACAAGTCAGTATGAACTCCACCACCGCGTCAACTCAAGCATCGGGGACTCAAGCGTATTGCAGCCTTCCTTAAGATGGAATGGTATGATACCGGCAATACCGATGCTGTGGCACCTGTCAACCACTCTACCCGCACCGTTACTCGTACTTGTGCCGTACTGTAGGGGTCCAATAACTTGGCGAGCCCACCACCCCTGTGGCCGCTCTTATTAAGCTCGGCGCCTGCTTTTCCCCCTCAAAAGTATTCGCCCGGGCCATAGCAACGATACAGCAAACCCAACCCCGCAGATACCCCGCAAGGTAAGGTAAATCGCCGGGTGGTAGAGCTATCATAAAACAAACTGCGAATCTCGGGTACCACCGTTCCGTACCAGCAAGCCTCAGTTGGTCCCTGTGCTCAATAACAAAAAAATGACCGGTGGGTGATCCTCTATTTTGCCTACAGATGAGAACAGAAGCTGATCGTCACAGGCGGTGCGTCCATTCCCTTGACAGGTGGATCAACCGAAAATACATGATGCTAAAAACCCCACTGGACAGCTTCACTTTGGCTGTGCCCCCCGGCAGGAAGTCCTATCGAGGCTGCTCTCCGGAAGCTCATCGGTGTAACTATTCCACCTCACTTCGGCGATGAGAAGGTACCGGCCTTCCGCCCACACATGACAATTACTTCGGACATTCCGGACAACCTGGATCCCAAGGAGGTCTTGGGGAAGATTTCGCTGAGTGGGTTACTGGAGGTTAGCTTCAAGGAGCTTAATATCGGGTAGGCTTCTCTCCAAAGAGATGGGGGTGGGTTATGTTAAGGTCTTTAGGAAAACCTACTATACTCGTGGGACCCTCCATCTAGAACGCACCCCAGCAATCGTTGGCCTAGCCAGGCAATGCCGGGAATTGTTTGCTAACGGTGGGACGGAAGAGGAGGCCGTGGATAAATGGGAGAAGGAAGTCTTCACGCCCCACGTTTCATTGGTATATTCCGCCATGGAACCCATCCCAGACAACATGCGTAAGGCCATCGGGAAAGACCTCCAAGAGGCCAATATCGGGGTATTGCACTGGAACGGCCCAAAGGGGGAGATGAGGGGCTGGAAGGGTGGTAGCATTGTTCTGGTAGTGGTTTTCATTCCACGGGGAATGCGTTGGGAAAATATTCTGACATCTGATAGGTCTCAACTCACAACCCCATTGAAGAGTGGGAGGCCATGGCTGAGAGAAGGCTGTAGCCACTTTCGCGTGGCCCAAGGAGCCCCTTTCTTGTTAGGGCAGGCTTTTTGTAGGCTAGGTTGTTTATGTAATTCACTGTCTCGCTGTTGAATGGGTGACGCCGTTACTTGTTTCTGAACCCCTACGACTCCAATGTGAATATTGCACGAGAGAATTGAGAGCCACGCTTTAGAATACGTAAGCGCTGATTGGTATCAATCACACTATATAAACTGCCCTCCCAGCCCTCTAGGGTCACTGATGCGTTCCCACCCTCAGCCATCTCCGTTTGGTGTCAGCATCGGAGCGATCCTCGACCTCCTACCCCACTCGTGAGATTGAGAGGTCTTTCTCTAATTGGTAGCTATTATTATTTTCCGAAATATTTGGTTGAGCTAGCATCCGTGCCACTAACAGGGTTCCCTCCGGAAAAAGACTACCGGGCCAACGACACCTGTATTCAAATCTTTTGAGGTACAGAGTGCCTCCTTCGGGCGGCTTCCTAGAATGCCATTCATCAACGGAATCGGGGCTTTCGTAGAAACACGCGACGGGCTACTTCCAGAGGTCGGACAGAGCGAATTTGGCGGCGGCCTAAGCTGCTATATCCCTGCACAATCTGGTCAGCAGTTCTGGCTCCGCTATGTCATCCTACAGCCACTATCGTGCAAAGCAGCTAGCGTGGAATTTTACGTTGATGGTCAAAGGATTGACGCCCAATTTCCTTCATTACAGGGGGGTCCCGGAAGTCCTAGAATTCAACCGCTCGACTCCAAGATAACCTCCCAGTATGTACAGGAGGCACGCAATGGAGATGAAGGCCCGGGGAAGATGTGGAAGAGGGATGTCTTCTTCACATTGGCTAAGATGGTCGCAACTCGCTCCGCGAAGGCACTAATGAGCCAAGAACAGGCGCTCAGATACGGCACAATTGAGTGTAGGGTATATCGCGGAGAGGAGCTACCAGGTCGTGTCCATGCGACTAAGCCAGAGGCGTTTGCTCCCCCGCCGTCTGAATTGTATCGGGGGTTTCTGAAGGGACGTCACATTACCCACGTTTCGCGAGTTGGGGCGAAGATTGAAACAACCCCGAAGAGAAGGTATGCTGTCAGATGTATCGACCCAGAGGAAGCACCGTTTTCTTGGTTCAAGTTCCGTTACCGCTCACGGGAGTATTTGGAGAAGAAATTCAGGGATGAAAAGTTCCAGCAGTGTTCGGCGGCCAGAGAGATTTTTTGCGGGTGGTTCATCCCACAGCACCCAACCGGTTCCCCTTGCCAAGTGTTGGGTGTTCAAACTCGCCCAAGGGACAAGCCCAGAACTCCAAAATCAGACTCTCAGAGCGTTATTGGTTCGCTCAGAATCACCATCCAGGAACTTGAAAACGAGCTTGCGGAGGCTGAGCGTGCTGGAGTTGAGGATTACCAGCTCCTTGCCGACCTCCGCGAGGAAATTCGAAAGGCCAGGGAGAATACGGAGAAACTGCGAGCCAATGCGCGATGGAACAATGGAACTTTGCAGGTGGCCGCCCTAGATGCCCTATCGGATGATGGTGGAGAAGAAGATAGTAGCGATGATGATGATGAGGGGGAGGATTAGAGTTCTTCCAGTGAAGGTGGTGCTCCCCAGGTCAGTTGCAAGGGGGGGTGAATGAGTAAGACTAGGATTAGCTATCGCTCGTATGAGGGCGAAGCAGAGGTCTGATTGTTTTGAGTAGCCTAGAATACATTGAACCGAGCCCAACAGGAGAAAATGCGCCTCTTGAAAGCACAACTTGAGGAGATTCTGTAAAAGTATCCAGTGGCCCAGCCCGTCCCGACCCCCACTGATATCCCCCCCACTCGTGCGAAAAAGCAATTCCTCGAGTGCCATGGACGCTACGGTCGAGTGATATGATGGGATCTGCAATGGTAATCATTGATGAGTGATGAAGGGATGACCTGACGGTTCACCCTAAGATAAACAGTACTGTAGGAGCGGGGAGTGTCGAGGTCAGACGGCCGTGAGTTCCCACAATGGGCAAAAGTGAGCGACATGTCACAATCACATCTCTCGGCCGTAGAAATACACTGTGTTGTACCGAGCAATCAATGGCGTAAATATTTGACGATGATGTGTCCGGTTTTTCGCGGCAATGGGGGGGCCGTGCTGTAAAAATGGGAACAAGGCGAAAAATCTGGCCGACCGAAGGGATTCCGCTCGCGTAGACAGGGGAAAAAGGCACCACGCTTGGATTCCTGGGGCCGGCTCTAGCTTCCTCTTTCTCTTCCCCCACTTCCTCCCTCTTGTGTCGTCGGGGATAAACTTGAGTAGGAAACCCCCCGGCCTGAATCATGGACTGTACCCTGGGCAAAAAAAACACATGCACGACAACCCTCACCTCTTCCTGTTGGTCACGCTGTTCCTTGGGCCGATGAAATGGATGGACGACGGAGTGGTGAGTCGGGTTGGTATGTTGTTCGTGCATACCAGGTTCTGGTTTATGCATTGCTCTATTGGGCTGGCTTGGGAGCACCCAATTATGAGTGGACATGTTAAGGCTCTGTTTGGCGGGAACGGAACTGTTTGAGACTGTTCAATTTTCTCATACAAAACGACCGTTATTAAAATCATTGATTTGTAGCTAACTATATGACTTCAGCTTAGAGGTATATGCACCGTACGGCATTACGTCCAAGAGGTAAGCCAACTCCAAAACCGGCAAACCGCAGTACATCTGGGACTGCACCACCCACACAACCCATAGTAAGACCACATCTTTGCCTGGCTCGAACCACACAGGCCGACAGGTGATCCCGAGCCAAAGCCCAAACCAGGGGGTCATGGCCATTCCCGGCCAACTACAAAATCTTTATATAAATCAAAACCAGCTCTGCTGGCCTCGCAACCACTCCACCAACATATACCAGCCTCAGCTAAGCCAGGTACACCATACCACTCCTAATCCACTGACTCTACCACCTGCCAGCCGGCAGCCTAAAAGCCGTAATTCAACAGCTCAAAGTAGTAGTCCTCCACCAGGCATGCACCCCCATTGTCCCAACCCACTAGGAGGGGCCAAACCTGTTCGCACATATGGCAGAAAAGCTTATTCCTCCTCACCTCTTGCTCACATAGGCACAAAACCCTCGTGCCCTCCTTCTGGTTCTAATGCCCACCCTGAGGACACAAATGCAGGACCACAGGTCCGAACAGCACCGACAAGCGAGTAAACTGCTCACGGCAAGACACTCCCTAGGTGACGCAGATGGATTTATGATCCTTCCCCACCAGGCCAGGTCTGAGCTGCCTGCTGGTCTTATGCCCTACCGTGCTTTTCATCCGCCTGTCTTGCAGGCACAGCCTCTGTCTTGGTGACAGGATAGCAACTGTAGTCACTATACTCTCCACCCCCGAGTCCACCTCGACCAAGGGAGCTGGCATCAAGGCATCCTCAGACACCCAGTAGCACTTCGACCTCAGTCACCATCTGGATGTAGTCTGGCGGCTATAGGTGGGTGTACTGGGTACTACAAACTCGTTCCTAGGGGGGGGGAGGGATCCCATGAACAGGGTAAGAGCACCCAACCCAATCAGGTCAGCCACACCCCCAACCTGAGAAGCTACGGGCTCAGCCACAGAGGGCTCAGGCACCTGCACCACTGAAATGGAGGACGCCACTGAAGGCAACTGAACAAACACCTTCCCCGCCACCCCCTCCTCAAATGGAGGTGGCAAATAATCATCGCTACCTCCAGAAAATACAGACGAGGGGGAGGAACCGCCAGCTTGACAAGAAGCCAGAGAGGCAAGCAACGACTCACTCTCCAACTTCGCCAAATGCAGGCGGCAGGAGAGGACGGAAATATGGTGCCGGAGATTAGAAACCTACGAAATGGAAGGATAAGAAAATTTGTATGGGGAACTGAATGGAATAGGTGCGAACAGTCGTATCCAAACAGACCCTAAGTTATGTACGAGTACTGTGCAGTACCGGTAATGTACCTACTCGTGCCAAGGTTGTGACTAATCATTATAACCCCCAGCCGCTCAGTTACAACCAGGAGTACTCTACTTATAAAGAGTGTCCGTCAGCTTAATATGACTTGACAGCTCAACATGACATGTGGCTCAACAGCACTTTTTGTGCCTCAACATTGTGGCTCAATATAATATTATAAGTCTAGTATGTAAAACATTCTAGTTTATATTTATTTTTCCTGACTTTACTTGCCTTTTGATTCCCATAATTATAAGCTTTGATATTTTCTTTTTATAAGCTTGTGTATTCCATCTCTTTTTAAATTCTAATTTCATCTCATCAAGCAGAGGCTTTCATTCTGCTTCTCTAACCTTTTTTTAGGATTTTGAGCTCACAGGAGCTGTTTCTCAGTCTTTCCCAATTCAGCCTCTTCATGGCTTCTTGCCATTTGGCAAGCTTCTGAAGCATAGATTACTCCTCCTTTCTGCACTTGCCAGCAGGTCTGAGCTCTGCGCCTGGCTGCTCTTGCCTGCTCAGCAGCTCAGGGATTCTTCATGTATTCCATGGTTAATGCACCAGGTTGTACTTGTGCTAATCCATCTTGCAAGACCATTTTTAGTCTTTGCTGGAACATCAGTGTTAAGAATCCTATCGGGTGGATGAGTATGACAGGTAACGATTCTTATGTTGCGATAAGAGAATGGTTCTTAGACTGTTGCCTAGGTTATATGGATAGCTAAGTCCTATTGACCTCTATCGTATAGCGCCTATTCCTTCAATCTTCTTAAGCCCTCTCTCAGGACTCAATCTTGTGGTGTGGGAGGAAAGAAGGTTTTTGGGTTCTTAAGTAAAGTAAAGAGCATAAAGGTGTTTTTTTATAAAATAATAGATGTAGGAAATAAACTAGAAGAATATGTGAAGAGCTCATACTTGATATCCTAATGACCCCTTTATATAGTCGCTCTTCATCTAGCATGACTCATACTTCTCATCATGTGAACTCTGTGACTCATAACTATGAGTCATGTAAAATTCCTCAGCTGACTCCTAAGAGTTGCT